TATGTTCTTGGATTGGAAAAATCAATATTGTGAAAATTACTATACTACCCAAAGCAATCAGATTGCAGATTCAATGCAATCCCTATCAAATTACCAATGGCAGCTTTTATAGAACTAGAAGAAAAAAATTTAAAGTTTGTACGGAGACACAAAAGACCCCAAATAGCCAAAGCAATCTTGAGGGAAAAAAACAGAGCTGGAGGAATCAGACTCCCTGACTTCAGACTATACTACAAAGCTACAGTCATCAAGACAATATGGTACTGGCACATAAACAGAAATATAGATCAATGCAACAGGAAAGAAAGCCCAGAGATAAACCCACACATCTATGGTCAACTAATCTATGACAAAGGAAGCAAGGACATACAATGGAGAAAAGACAGCATCTTCAATAAGTGGTGCTGGGAAAACTGGACAGGTACATGTAAAAGAATGAAATTAGAACACTCCCTAACACCATACACAAAAATAAACTCAAAATGGATTACAGACCTAAATGTAAGACCAGACACCATAAAACTCTTAGAGGAAAACATAGGAAGAACACTCTATGACATAAATCACGGCAAGATCTTTTTTGACCCAACTCCTAGAGTAATGGAAATAAAAACAAAAATAAATAAATGGGACCTAATGAAACTTCAAAGCTTTTGCACAGCAAAGGAGACGATAAACAAGAAAAAAAGACAACCCTCAGAATGCGAGAAAATATTTGCAAACAAATCACTGGACAAAGGATTAATCTCCAAATATATAAACAGCTCATGCAGCTCAATATTAAAAAGACAAAAAACCCAATCAAAAAATGGGGAGAAGACCTAAATAGACATTTCACCAAGGAAGACATATGAAAAGCTGCTCAACATCACTAATTATTAGAGAAATGCAAATCAAAACTGCAATGAGGTATCACCTCACAGCAGTTAGAATGGGCATCACCAAAAATATGTACAAACAATAAATGCTGGAGAGGGTGTGGAGAAAAGGGAACCCTCTTGCACTGTTGGTGGGAATGTAAATTGATACAGCCACTATGGAGAACAGTATGGACATTCCTTAAAAAACTATAAATAGAATTACCATATGACCCAGCAATCCTACTACTGGGCATATACCCAGAGAAAACCATAATTCCAAATGACACATGCACACCTATGTTCACTGCAGCACTATTTACAATAGCCAGGTCATGGAAACAACCAAAATGCCCATCGACAGACAAATGGATAAAGAAGGTGTGGTACATATATACAATGGAATATTACTCAGCCGTAAAAAGGAACGAAATTGGGTCATTTGTAGAGAGGTGGATGGAGACTGTCATACAGAGTGAAGTAAGTCAGAAAGAGAAAAACAAATGTATGTTAACGCATATATGTGGAATCTAGAAAAATTATACAGATGAACCAGTTTGCAAGGCAGAAATAGAGATGCGGTTGTAGAGAACAAATATATGGGCACCAAGGGGGAAAGTAGTGGGGAGTGGGGGTTGTGGTGGGATGCACTGGACATATATACACTAATTATGTATAAATAGATAACTAATAAGAGCCTGCTGTATAAAAAATAAATAAAATAAAATTCAAAGAAAAAAAAATCATGAGGAAACAGATGAAACCACGCTGTGAGACCTGTGCAAGACATCTGGCCTAGACTCTTAAAAATGTCCATGTTTTGGAAGAAAAAATTGACAAGAGAATTACTCTAAAGGAGACTAAAGAGATATGATAAATACATCACGTGAATCTTAACTGGATGCTCGATCAAAAACAGAAAGCTCCACAGGGCATTTGGAGGACATTGGGTGTTTAAAAAAAAAATGAAAGAAAAGAAAACTTTGTAAATATTTCATTTTGAAATTTGCATATATGAAACATCTCACAGGCATATATTTTGCCCTGAAACACTCAATTCATTTATTATATTTATCTCCATGAAAGCTTGTAGTTGAATTACACTTTTAAATATTGAAGACTTTTTTTCCCTTGTGGAAAGCAACCATGGAAAACAAGACACAAATGATACTAAGAATGAATAGAAGGTGGCTTATTCAACTTTAGAAAAATTAATTAATGAGTTGTGTAGGACTTCTCGAAAGAAGAGCACTTCTATAAAGAATATATGAAATTATACCTAAATTCCTAGTAATAATAGTAATAACAACAAAGCACAATAATTACTTGTATATATTTATAAACATATATTTTGATTGGGATAGATATGTGTATATACGTGTGTGTGTGTGTGTGTGTGTGTGTAAAATGCCTGTATTTCCAACTGCTGAAAGAACTCATGGAATCCATTTTCTCATTTATTTTATAAAATTCCCTTCTCTGTAGGAATGGAGATGTTTATGTCCTGCATTTCCTTCAAAGTATTTCTTTATTATAATAGCAACTGCAGCATTCTATGTATTGTTTATTGGTGTTGTTTCCTTTGGTAATAAATAGTAAACTTATTAAGGCTTTTCTTCAATGTACCAAACTAATTATAATATTAAAAACAGACTGGCTAAATTTAATTTTAAAACTACCAGTTATATTGACTGAGTTTAGCCAACTGTCATATTTATAATTCTAAAATGGTTTATTTTTTCAGAAATTTTACATTGGATAGATGACATGACTTACTGTCTCACATGAGGATTCTGGCTTACATCCTTTACACTGAACGTGTCAGTTTACTCTCATGACTTTCCAACTTGCCTAGTGGGAGTCTTTTTCTTTCTTTACAATAAGACTTATTTGGGGAATGGCAAAATCATGTGTTATAGTAAGTGTGGCTCTTAAGTACATGGATTTATAACTATAATCTATTTTGCTTGTGCTTATGGAGGTATGTTTCCGGGGCTCTACATTAATTTGAAGGTAGACTCGATAAGTTTAAAATGTATATTATAAAACCTAAAGCAGTGACTAAAATAACAAAAAAAAGTTATAGCAAATAAGTCAACAAATGAAGCACAATGGAATAACTAAAAAATTCAATTAATTCAAAAGAAGGCTGAAAATAGGAAAAACTGAAAGAAAAGGTGAGACATATAGCAAATAAATAGCAAGATGATAGATTTATACCCAATTACTTCAATACTCATATAAATATAAATGGTCTAAATGCTCCAGTTAAAAGCAGAGATAGTTGAATTGGAAAAAAGGAAACAACTATATGCTGCATAGAAAAAGTGCATTTTAAATATAAAGTAGAAATAGTTAGAAGTAAAAGGATGGAGAAAACATATGCCAACGTAGTACTAATCAAAAGAAAGCTAGAGTACCTCTATGAATAGCAGCAAAGTAGGTTTCAGAGCAAAAATACCACCAGGAATAAAGAAGATCATTTTCTAATGATAAAAGAGTTTTTTGATTAAGAGGACATTACAACCCTAATCATTCATATATCTTTCAACAGACTTTCAAAATACATGAAGCAAATACCAATAACTGCCAGGAGAAATAGAGAAATCAATGGTTAGAGTTGGAGATTTCCACATTGCTCTCTCTGGAACAAGTAACTAGAGAATCAGGGAGGATATAGAAAACCTGAACAACACTATCTAATCACTTGGCCAACTTGACACAAAGGTTTTATGTACATTTCAGACTGAGATAATGAAATAAAATGCATAAATAACAATGTCCAGTCTATCAATTAGGGAAATTTTAAAAATGATTCACAAATAATCATTAAATCATATGCTTAATATAAATGGAGACAAGAAGTATTTCACCAGCACAATGGTTTACACTTCTTCCCTAAATCAACTTATATAAGGATTTAAATATTACAAATGTGCTTTTCAGTGAATATTGCACATGGATTATAGATGAGAATACTTATCTTAAAATTAATTTCAAGAACTGTATAATTTATAAGTTCAGAAAATTTCATCTTATGGAATATATTTGCATTCTTTACACATCAAAATGCCTACTGTAAAAGGTGAAAACAAGAGCTGAAAGTTATTTGCTATAAATCATAGCAGATACTTGTCTACACCTAAAAAAATTTGCAGACATTGTTACAACATACCCAATATTCATTCAATCTAAGAAGCCACTGATTATAAAACATGCCATTATTTTACATTCTTCTAGAAAATAGTAAGGGCTATTAGATTGTGACATTGAGATACACCAATTTCTGAGATGTTAAAACACAAAATGTGTGTGTGTTCTGAGATGTTAAGTGAATATGTCTGTCCTGAGATGCTAAATGGGCATATTCTGAGACATTAAAAGTTAAAGAGTTGTGGTTTTGTAATCTTAACATAAAACACATCTCCCCTAAAATAAATTTTGTGTGAACTGAATTCATACTTTATAGTCTCATTGAAATAGTCACTCCAGTCTCGGTATTTCTGGGAAAATTAAATTCTCTACCTTGCATACTTGAAGAAAGAAAGATATTCCCAACCTTTCTATTGGTTAATAATACAACAACAGTAAGGAAATAAAGGCATTACATAAAATGGAAAAATCATTATTAACTCAGAAATGCTTAACATGTATGAAAGTGTATTATATTTTCCCCCAAATCACTGAAATAAGAGATTACGTTTCTACTGATGTCTTCAGAAAGGTACAGTTCTTTGCACAGAATCTAAGCAACAAATTCAATTTCATTAATCTAAGGCCATATTTTAACATCTGATCCAATTAGTTATTGATATTACCCTTGAGCACTTTCATTCTCCAGAATCCCACAGACATTCAGACCAGTAGCTACCAGTAGATACAAAGATGTTCAACATAGTAAGAACTTTTAGGAAAACAATTAGAGACCATATGGTGTAGAAGGTTAAGTGCATCAATATATACTGATCATTATAATATTAAAACACAGATTTTACAGGTCAAATTCATTAATCCATGAATTAAAACACAATCAAGGAAACTGAACTAAGAAACATCCCTATTTTAATTTCAATGAACTAATATAATCATCAAATCTGTTCACTTCTATAATTATAATTCTACAATTCCTAATTATCAAAATAATCAAGGAATAAAAATTGTTAAACAATTTGATCCTCTACTTCTGTATGTCATCAAACCACCAGAATGACTTACCTTATCTTTTCTTTGCTTTTCATCCTGGTATACTGTCCAGTGTTCTCCATCATTGCTGTAAGCTAGTTTGTAGGAGCCTACAAACTGCACATGACCAAAATCTTTAGCTCCTTGGGTAATAATGCCAGTCACTTTGGTAGGGACCAGAAGATCCACCTACAAAAAGGAAAAGACATAATTCAAATGCCACGATAGAGTCCATTATAAATTTGCAATTCTTTTGAACTCAGGAGATTAAGAAATACATATGCTAAAGCCAAAAACCCACTTGATTATTTGTATTTTGAAATAGAAGACTGAGTCTATTATTGGCTTGTGATTTTGATGCCACTGGGCAAACCTGGCTGAAAATTTGAACAACCATTTTGAACATTTTTAAATAAAGTGGTGGTCTTTTCAGTCTACCAATCAATTTTATATTAAACTGACTCATCTAGCATGTGGTTTTTGTGTAATTGAGATAGTACAGAACTGGCAAGGCTGATCTTCTTGAGACTGATCATCATCTCCCAGAGTCTGTGCTTATAAATCAATTTTCTGACTTTACTGGTCAATTTTATAGTAATAAAAATTATAGCTGTGTAAATATCAGGAACAAAAAAATTTGATATTTCCTAATTAAGCATTAAAAAGTCAACCCTGTTTCCATGAATTTTAATCAGTTCAGTTATATATAATTGAGTAATAGTAATCATTGGCCAATTAAAATCATCTTTCAGAAAACTACAACCCTAAAACTGTTGAGGAGGAAGTCAAGTATTCTTCAAAAATGAGAGAGAATTAAAATATGCATCCATGACTTGTGGGATCTGTGCTCACAATGTGCTCATTGTTGCAATATATATATTAAAGGGCATAAGACCCACAGTGATTTAGTAAGCATTAAATTCATCAACTGCAACACTGAAATGCAAAAGATAGGAATGATTTTCATCAAAGAAGAATACATAACATTGAATAGTTTAGTATTTCCCCTCTTTGTTCTCTAACTCATGCATCTTTTCTTATATCTTATGATGCTAATTAAAAGAAAAATTATAGGAAACTTTGTTTTCCATGTGGACAATTCTTATTAAGACCTTTACCATTTGTTGTACTAATGTTCCTTGATCTATAGCTTCCTCTCTCCTCCCACAATAGCCACCTACTTCTTCCTACTTCCTATGACTAAGTGCGCTGCTACATCCTTGATCTTATCATCTTCAACTGTCATGATCTCATGTGTGACCTTAGTGGCTTTCAACCACTATGACCTTTTGTTTCTATTTCAGGTTCTCCATCCTGAGAGATGTTTGTAGCTACAAATAGACAGTCATGGGTCAGATGCAGGCCATCAATGAGAAGAGGGGTCTAGGGAGACTGCACTGAATAGACCATATTAAGTGACATAGATGCTCATCAATAAAGATATGAAAAAGTTCCCAATGTTTCATGGCATAGGATTATATTTCTTAAAAAATTCACATGGGCTTTTTGCCCTCTTTTTGTAACATTCATCAAAGACATTAGGCCCAAGCTGGACAATGGATTAAGACAGAAAACCACCCTTAATGCTTTATTAAAACATTGTAGAAAGTTTATAAAAAATTATAAAATATAATGTTGTTACTACTTTCCAAACATGTATTATGTCACTTAAAATATCTTGCGTGTCCAGCGGCAATGCAGGATGGCAAAATTATGATATCCTGGGAAGGAAACTGTTGCTGCCTCACATAATGCTAAATGCTTTGTGGTATGTCTTCAGTGACTCCTCTTAATACTCTTTTCTGGTAGGATATCATCTCCACTTTAGAGGGAACAGTTGCTAGGGAGGTAACATAACATGACATGTGACACAAAGATCAATAGTCAGTAAAGGGAGGATCCCAGATTCAAATCCATGTCTTTCTGATTCAAAGTTCCGCATATGGATTCTCACTCAATGATTTCTTCCCATTCTCTGACTATTTCAGAAATTTCTGAAGAATCTCAAAGCTTTCTCACCACACTCATCAAACGTATAGCCACTCTAAGCTCCAAACAAAAGCAATCCAGGCTTTACAATATTATGAGAGCCCTGTCTTTAAACATGAATTTCCTCTCTGTTCTTTAGCTGTCTGGGCTTAAAAATATGGATTGCTGTTGCTGTACTAAATCCAAATCTAATTGCGCAGAAACGTCTAGGCCTAGCCACTGGTCTTCAAAGTGCTCTTAATGTTGCTGACACTCAATAAATGGAAAAAAAGTCTTACAGTACTCTGAGTCACTGTGTTGTCATCAAGGCTGTAAACATACAGGAACTCAAACTGACACCAAGAATACCTCCAGTGGATTCTTCAGTGCCTAAATGTCTATAAGTCCTAAGCTAAGATGATGCAGTGAGGAGTCTTGGACCATCTCTCTTTCAGTGGCATTTCTTAAAGTCAGGGTTTCCTGCTGGGTGGAGATGTTTTCTCCTTAAGTTGTGTGTCTTGGCTCTTTCTAACAGATCTGTTTTTCTCCCACTTTAACAGCTCCTATTCTCCAGCTTTTTTTTTTGATCCAGAAATGTTTTTCTTTTTTGTTCCAGTTAAGTCAACTCCTCGATTTAAATAGTCAGCAATCTGTTTCAAGCTGGATTTGGTCCTAAAATTTGCTACATTATAAACTTAGAACACCAGGCCTAAGCAAGCCTTCTTTCAGTATAAAAATAATCAGCATCCCACACTTAACATGAGGTTGTTACAACAGGGATGTACAGATCTCACTCTGCAACACACTGGAAGGACACATCACTCTCATGTTCATCATGCAGGATGATCCCAGAAAAGCCCACTCTTCTGGACCTATGCCTACCCCTGGCCCAGGACCACTCTGTCCTCTTGCAGATTTTCTGAGTTAAAGTTATACTGCAAATATGATTCTGCTATTTTAGACCCTCACATCCCAAGGTTTGGCTCAGATAGAGCAGGTTATTTAGGGCACTAAGCTGGGACATGGGTAGACATTTGGCTTAATGCACTGCACTTCATGTCAGGATCTGTATTAAAAGTACCTAACATGTAAAAAACTGCCCTCAATAAAGGTTTTTCTGGATTAAGCTGGAGCTACTTCCGAAGTATGTTCTGCAGACAAAACCAACCCGTGGCTAAGGATGCTGCAGTGTATCACAGCAGAAAATGCTAGCTGCTTTCCTCTTGTTTTTCTATGTGGCATTACTGGTTAAGGAAACATCATCATAGTTGTACCAACAATTTTTACTGGGAAGGCAACTAGTTAAAAATCCTCTCCAATCTTCAGGAATGTGATTGTGAAAGCCAGCCTATTCTAGTAGAGCTGAATGGTCTGGGTTCACAAACTGGCTCTACCCTTACTAGCTATATGCCTTTGGGCAAGCTACTTTACCTCTCTACAGCTCAATATCCTCATTTGAAAAAATGAGAATAGTCCCTTTATTAGGATTTTAAGGATATTATGAGGATAAGATGAGTTAATATATAAGTGTGTAAAACAACATATAGGAGTATTAAAACTCTGTTAACAATAAAACAATAAACAAATCTGGGGGAAGAATCTAATATTGGTCTCAGAGTACCTTTTAGAAACATAAATATGGAAACAGGGAAATCGGGTGGCCAGATTGTCCTAGAAGCAACTTCTTGATCATAGCATATTTTGGCCACCTTCTCAGGATGTACATACACAAAGTCAGTCATTTCATCTTTACTGAAAGTAGAGAAAATACTGAGTAACTAAAATTCACATTTATGCATGAAATGGTTAATTAAGAATATAATTAATTTTATGGAATGTTGTGCATCTCTATTTAAATATTAAGATTATATTACAAGAGGGAAATGGTCTCACTCTTTGCAGATGACATGATAGTATACTTAGAAAATCCTAAAGATGCTATCAGAAAACTACTAGAGCCCATCAATGAACTAAGTAAAGTTGCAGGATACAAAAGTAATACACAGAAATCTGTTGCATTTCTGTATACTAACAACCAAAGATCAGAAAGAGAAATTAAGGAAACAATCCCATTTACCATCACATCAAAAAGAATAAAATACTTAGGAATAAACCTACTTAAGGAGGTAAAAGACCTGTACTCTGAAAACTATAAGATGCTGATGAAAGAAATTGAAGATGACACAAACAGATGGAAAGATATACCATGTTCTTGGATTGGAAGAATCAATATTGTGAAAATGACTCTACTCCCCAATAAAATCTACATATGCAATGCAATCCCTATCAAATTACCAATGGCATCTTTCACAGACTTAGACCAAAAAATTTTGTGTGGAAACAGAAAAGACCCCATATAGCCAAAGCAATCCTAAGAAAGAAAAATGGAGCTGGAGTAATTAGGCTCCCTGACTTCAGACTATACTACAAAGCTACAGTCATCAAAACAGTGTGGTACTGGCAGAGAAAGAGAAATATAGATCAATGGAACAGGATAGAAGGCCCAGAAATAAACCCAGGCACCTATGGTCAATTAATCTATAACAAAGGAGACAAGAATATACAATGGAGCAGAGACAGTCTCTTCAATAAGTGGTGCTGGGGAAACTGGACAGCTACATGTAAAAGAATGAAATTAGAATATTCTCTAACACCTTACACAAAAATAAACTCAAAATGGATTAAAGACCTAAATGTAAAAGTGGATACTACAAAATTCTTAGAGGAAAACACAGGCAGAACACTCTTTGAAATAAATTACAGCAATATCTTCTTTGATCCGTTTCCTAGAGTATGAAAATAAAAACAAAAATAAACAAATGGGACCTAATTAAATTTAAAAGCTTTTGCACACCAAAGGAAACCATAAATAAAATGAAAGGACAACCCACAGAATGGGAGAAAATATTTGCAAATGATGTGACCAAAAAGTGCTTAATTTCCAAAATATATAAACAGCTCATGCAGTTCAATATCAAAACAACAAACACCAAATCAAAACAATGGGCAGAAGAGCTAAATAGACATTTCTCCAAAGAAGACAAACAGATGGCCAAAAAGCACATGAAAAGATGCTCAACATTGCTAACTGTCAGAGAGATGTGAATCAAAAATACAATGAGGTATCACCTCACATTGGTCAGAATGCCCATCATCAAAATGTCTTCAAATAATAAATGCTGGACAGGGTGTGGAGAAAAAGGAAACATCCTACACTGTTG